CAGCCCTCTTCCCTGCCTATGCAGGGGGTCTTGACTCGATGATCTATTGAGGTCCCTTCCGACCCTAACATCTATGAATCTATGAATAGAAGCCCCTTCTTGCCTGCAGCCCCCCCCTCCATTTTGTACATTTCTTTTTCCTTCTAAGTATTGGCAGAGACCTAGTACACTCATTGCATGGGTATGACAAAGCTCAGAGCAAGCCAAAAAGCTGAAGTGGTTTTCTGTAGGAGAAACCTAAAAACTGTATCTACATATTAATTAAGCTCAGTGTCACTAAAGAAAACAAAAGAACTAAAATATCCACTTCAAAGACTGTAAATATATCTTGGTGCTAATAACTCACTCACTGTCCACAGTAACCTTTAATCCTCACTACCTCACATTGCATTTTTATATATTTCTCACAGTGCATTTTTATATTTCAACTGTCTCATTTTTACCATGGCATTTTGTATTTTATATTTTATACTTTTAAACCCTTAAGGAATGTACTCCTTGTAGAATGAAGTTACACCCTGGACCATTGTTAAAAACTGCATTGAAATTGTAATTGTAAAGTGATAAAATCTGCTATATTGGATGGTCCCTTGAGTGAATGTGAGTGTATGGTGATCAGTAGATAATTAAATGACAATAGCTGAGCCAAAGACACTTACCATTACAAAACTCTACTCTAAAGCCATTTTAAGCTAATCAAGCCAAGGAACTGATTCCTGGAACTGAGCACCCACCCTATTGACTATTCCTGTAAGACAATACAGCTATTAAGTCAATAAGTCAAGGATGGACTTCTGAAACTTCACCAGCAGGCAGAGACCCCTGTCATGTACTACTCAAAACCCACGTGGGACAACAACCTCCAGATTGGGCAGCCAAGATGATGCTGGGGGATCACACAAGTCTGCCAGAAAGGGATAAAAGGCAGTGAAGTGTGACCCTCAGTGGCGCCCTCTCATCCACCACCTGACCTGCCGAGACAGAAGGACAAGCAGGTGACCCCCTTCTGGAGAAGACATCGCCTTGAAGGAAGCTGACCATCGACAGCAAATGCCAGGGCCTCAGATAGGTAGATATCTCATAATCACTACAGCAGCTACTACACTATACTACATGGGTTTAACTGACATGGGTTTGAATAAGTGAGTGCATGTGTGTGTGTGCATGCTAAGGTGACCAGTACCACTCATAACTCAACGTCTGAATTTATGATTTTATTGGTAACTTTACATCCTGTCCAATAAACTAGAATTTGTGATGATCCTGAGAGTTGGTCCTTTGTAGCCAACAGGCGATGTTGGCCAGGACCATCCTTCCATGCACCCAGGGCACCTCTGTTGCCAGCACCACCACCTGCAGGTTTTTCAGCAGGGCTCAGCAAGGGGGTCAACACCCTAGGAAACTGTCTGGGGACCTGGAGGCAGAAACCAGCTTCCAGGCTCTTGGGATCTCCTGATAGAAATCTGGCAGCTCCTCCAGGTCCTGCCTGGGGAAACCTCACAGGTATAAGAGCTGTTGATCATAGTGGAATCTTTGGAGGTGGTAGAGGAAGGCATGTCCTATATAACTCCATGCCACATCACTACTGTCACCATCCATAAACCTCTGTAGGGCCTGCAGGTAGAAGGTGTGGACCTGGCTGTGGAAGCAGACCAGGCCCTGTCCACCCTCCCACAAAAGAAGCCTCAGGACCTCTGCAGACCCAGTGCTGCCTTGGCTAGAAGAGCCCCAGTGACCATCTCTGGAGTCTGGCCAGGAGCTCTGGGGGCATGGGCAGGGTGTTGAAGTAGTGCCAGAGCATGGA